GATATATTCTATTTATGTTTTATAGTCTAAGTGCCATTTTTCTACCACTCTTCTGTCAGGAAACTTACATGTACATTATCACTTTGGTTTTTGGGGTTTAGAGTTTTTAGATTTTTCTTTTGTTTTTTTTTTTGTGTTGATCTTTTGAAACAGTCTCACTAGCTCAAGCTCCTATTTCAGCCTTCTCAGTGCTGAGATTATAGGAATGTATCGTTATACCTGGCTAAATTAGAATTTTGAATCATCGCCTGCAAACACATCTGTACATTACTGGGTATAATTCATACTATGCTTTTATGTATTTAATCTATTTATATCTACTTAGATTGCATCTCTTTTTCCCCTCTTGGATGTTTTTTGCTAATGTCTTTGTATACTAAGTATTTTGCATTTGCATAATGACCTTTACAAAATCCTGAAAAGTTTGCTTGCTGAGCCAAAGAGTGAGTGTTGATATATATCAACTGCTAAAACATCCTGTAGTGTTGTTATCTCTGTTGGCAATTCTGCTAGCAAAGTAATAGAGAGCCTGGTTTTTGTCCTGAAGTTTCCCGGTATTGGATTTTGTCTTTCTTAAAAATCTAAATGGAGCCGGGTGCTGGTGGCTCACGCCTGTAATCCTAGCTACTCAGGAGGCTGAGATCTGAGGATCGTGGTTCAAAGCCAGCCCGGGCAGGAGAAACCGTGACACTCCTATCTCCTATAAACCACCAGAAAACGGGAAGTGGCGCTGTAGCTCAAGTGGTAGAGTGCTCGCCTTGAGCTGAAGAGCTGAGGGACAGCGCTCAGGCCCAGAGTTCCAGCCCCACGACTGACCAAAAAAAAAAAAAAAATCTAAATGATTGAAATGTACATCATTGTGTTAAATTTTTATCTCTGATTATTGATCTATTCCACATATTAGCTATTAGTATTTGTCTTTGGTTTTTGTTCAGTTGTTTTATTGAAATGGTAATCTTTGTTATTGACCTGAAAGAGAGACCTTTCAGTACTGGAATATTGTTGGTTGGATTTACTTTTAACTCTGTCTGTAGTGATTTTTAAATTAAATGATCATTTATTTCTTTTCATGCATAAAAATTTTTGTCAGTAAAATGTGTCACTGTGTCACTTTATAAAGTCAAACTTTTATCCTAGTTAAGAACAGCTTTTGTCATTTCAGGATTGAAGAAATACTTATATTTTGTCACAGTAATCTTAAGCTTTAATTTTTCATGGTAATCTTTGATCTATCTAGGATTTATATTTAATAAGGTAAAAGACAAGAAGATAAGATTATTTTTATTGCAAATAGATGCCAGAATGCATGAATAGCCAATCTTTTATTGCTGATTTAAACAGACTCCTGTAATTTTAAATTCCCTTACATATTTGAGTTAATTTATTGGACTTCTTCTGTTTTTGAATAGATATTATTATGCTTTTAGTTTTTTGGATTTGAACTATTTTATGGGATTAAATTTAATTTCTGTATTCCTTTCAGATTGTGTCCATTTTTACAAGTTGACTTGATGAACCTTAAAATCATTTGACCAAACTAATAATCCTATGTAGGGTTACAGTTCGGGTTGAATGCTAGTTATGATTAATAAGAAGATTGGTACTTTTATAAAATGAACTTTTCTCATTATAGAAAGTAAACTTATTTTTCATGAATTCAGATATTATTTTATGTAGTTCAGTAGCATTTTTGTGTTTTATTCACATAGATCCTCACCATTTTTAAAGCTTTTCCTTAGATAGTTTTGAATTGTTAAAAATTACTTCCCCATTATATTTGAAAATGTTTAATCCTTCAAATCATAAGCTCTTGACTTTATTTTAAATCCAGACAGTTTAGTGGACATTTTCCCCCTAGTAATCTTTCAGTTGGTTTTAGCTTTCTGAAGTCTTAATGAAGTGGCACTCAGTAGACTAAAGAAGTAAATGTAACAACTTTATTGTAGGATGTAACCTGAAATAGTTACACAGTGGGTCAAAGTACAACAGTGTTATGGAATGTAATTTGTACACTCATGCAGAGAGAATAAGACCCCATGCCTATTAAATAGAATCTGATAAGTGTACTAGCACATGTAAAGATGCTCTTGCTATGAGATTTCCCCACATTCTGAGATATCTTTTACGACTCCCTTAATTAATATCTAAGGATTAGTTCTGTATCATTTATGTAGGCAGGAGAAATGCTTAATTTTTAATCAAGCTCAAAGGTATGTTGCTCTTCCCAGTATGGAAAATGCGAAAGAGTGTAAGGGAAAACAGAATTGCCATCCACAAAAATAGGTGTTTACAGGGCTGTGAATTCCAGGCTTGCTAACTTTTGTTTCTTTTGGGAACTCTACAACTCCTGTGTAGTTCTATTTTGTTACCCCCTTTTCCCCTTATGTAGGTGTAAGGTGGTCTGCCATTGCCACCTGGTGGCCACCTGGGGAAATACGTGAACTAACCTCAGATTGCTTAGTTCATGAACCAGAGACTTCAGATTTGGCTGGTGTTTTGCAATCCAAATCCAGATTAGAATCATCCCCTTGATGTCTTAGCTATAGACACAGAGAGAAGGGGAATAAAAGTCTTAAGTTCTGGGAAATTGCCTGTTAAAGGAAGCTAGGACACAAGAGGAAAAAATCCCAACAGGCCACGTCCACCGGACCTCGTAGAGGGCAAGGACGAGATCCAAGAGGGATGTGTAAAGGGCTTTCTCCAGGAAACCGTTGAGAGGATGTCTTAAGCAAAGTAAGGGAAGGAGATTTCCTTTGGTGGTGGTATGTCTGAATGGAGCCCTGGCTAGGATCAGTTTCTTTGTGAGTCCCCAGTCAGTGCCAGCATCTTTCTTTCTTTCTTCTCTCTCTCTCTTTCATCTGAAAAATTTCCAAATATGTTGTTCTCATAGTTTTAAACAGATAATTCCATAAAAAGTAAATCCTAGTTCATATTTCACCTTTCTTTCCCACTTTTCATTTTCTCTGTTCTTCCTAGTTCCTTTTTGTAATTTTTTTTTATCAGCTCTTATTCTTGCATTCTCAAGAAAACATGTATTCTCCCCCCCAACTCTTTGTTTAATTTTGGAGCTGAAACATAATCCTAACTTCAGTGGATAAACCTAAGGCTACTGTTGGTGGGTCAGTTGCAAGAAAAGGGGAAGGGAAGGTGGTAAAGCCATGAATGCCAGAGTTCTTGGAAGGGACCAGAAGTTGCCTTCATATTACTGGGCTCAATCCTTCCTTCCTCTCCGCATGATTTCTCCTTGTGTCCATTTCCACAAAAATTTGCCTCTTTCATCTACTGCTATACCTCCAACATTTAGGACAGTTCCCAGCATGGGAAAGGAGCTCTTTTAATACAGTCAGCCCTTTGTATCTGTGAATTGTTCATCTTCAGATGCAACCAACCACAGATAGAATGTTGTAATGCTTAGGCATACTATGGCTGTGTCTGTCCTGAACACATATAGACTTGTTTTTTTTTAGAATATTCCATAGATAATATAGTATTACAACTATGTATATAGTACTTACATCATGTCAGCTATTATAAGTAATCTAGATGTGATTTAAAGCATATGGTAAGATGTGTGTAGGTTAGGTATAAATACTATGCCATTTTATATCAGTGACTTGAACATCCGCAGATTTTGGTATCTGTGTGTGTGTATGTGTGTGTGTGTGTGTGTGTGTGTGTGTGTGTAACTGGAACCAGTTACACAGAAATGTCTATATTAGTAGAGGGAATGAAGAGATAATGTTCATGAATATTCTTTCTTACTATATTTTAATTTTATTTTGTAAGTATTCTATTGAATTTTCATTGTGGAAGCCTGGGTTTAGATTTTTGTGTGATAGTTTATCAATTTTTTAGAAGGATTATTTTACATTTTAGCATCCTAGTTGATCGGCTTTCAGAAAATGAGGTGTTGGCAAGTTAGAAACACTCTGTACCTTTTCTTTTATGTAACAAGAATATGTCTTTGCTATACCAAAAGAATGTAAAAAAAATCCAACAAAATGATGAGCTTTTATGTTTTTGTTTCTCAAGTGCTTTCTGCATCCTTCCCCAAAGAAGGTAAGACTGTTAAATATGAGGGGAAAAAAACAAAATTGAAAAGCTGCGAAATACTCTTGTTGTATTTCTTTTGCACTATAAATTCTTTATAACAGAGATAAAGAAGTATTTATTCTTTATGTAGAACTAAGCACAGAGGAAACATTGGATTTACCTGATATTTATTTCTCAGCGTTTCCCCCTTTCTGAACTGGGCAAAGAAGCAAAAGTTGTTTCGGTTTTAACGATTTTTTTCTGGTATTTTTCTGGTGTGAGTGAATTCTCTGAAGATTAAAAAAAAACCCACTTCCTATTTTCAGTCCCAAATCCTAGGATTAAAAAAAAACAACCCAAAAAATACCTTACAAATCTATGTGATGTAAAGCAGTTGAAATGAATTAAAAGCTGCCCTGAGTTAAGGCTGCTGAGATCAGAGGGAAAATAATGCCATTGTGACAGACGCTGGTCATTTGTGAGGATGTGTTACAACGTTCCCGATTGGGCTCGATGTCTTGCCCCTGCTTGATTTTAGTCATGATCGTGGTCATGGAGGAAGGCCAGGTGTCACGTTGTAGTTCATTGACAACATGACTGGCTACAAGCAACAAGCGATGACATGGACAAACCTTTTTTTAATGTGTTTTTGTGTCCAGACTGGAATTTGAACTTGGGCCCCCACAGTCACTTGGCTCTTTTGCTCAGGGCGGGTGTTCTACCATTTCAACCACACCTCCACGTCCAGCTTTTCTTTTCTGGCCAACTGGAGATAAAAATCTCGTGGGCTTTTCCTGCCTCTGTCTGGCTCTGGACGGTGATCCTCAGATCTCAGCCTGCCCCGGAGCGAGGATGAGGGGTCTGGGTGACCAGCGCGTGGCCGGTCTGCACCCAGGAATCATGGTGTGAGGGCGGGCTGGAACCTCCCCGGTATTCACCCTGTGTCCCCTTTCCCCTTCCTCCCCCAGGTACCTGGGGATCACGAGGCCGCTCACCTACCCGGTGAGGCAGAACGGGAGATGCATGGCAAAGATGATCCTGTCGGTCTGGCTGCTGTCCGCCTCCATCACCCTGCCGCCGCTCTTCGGGTGGGCCCAGAACGTGAATGACGACAAGGTGTGCCTGATCAGCCAGGACTTCGGCTACACCATCTACTCCACCGCCGTGGCGTTCTACATCCCCATGTCGGTCATGCTGTTCATGTACTACCAGATCTACAAGGCGGCGCGCCGGAGCGCCGCCAAGCACAAGTTCCCCGGCTTCCCCCGGGTGCAGCCCGAGAGCATCGTCTCGCTGAACGGCATGGGGCGGCTCCAGAAGGAGGTGGAGGAGTGCGCCAACCTCTCGAGACTCCTCAAACACGAGAGGAAAAACATCTCCATCTTTAAGCGGGAACAGAAAGCAGCCACCACCCTGGGCATCATCGTCGGGGCCTTCACCGTGTGCTGGCTGCCCTTCTTCCTCCTCTCCACTGCCAGGCCCTTCATCTGCGGCACCTCCTGCAGCTGCATCCCGCTGTGGGTGGAAAGGACATGCCTGTGGCTGGGCTACGCAAACTCGCTCATTAACCCTTTTATATATGCCTTCTTCAACCGGGACCTGCGGACCACCTACCGCAGCCTGCTCCAGTGCCAGTACCGGAACATCAACCGGAAGCTCTCGGCGGCGGGCATGCACGAGGCCCTGAAGCTCGCCGAGAGGCCCGAGAGGCCCGAGTTTGTGCTGTAAGGTCACTTATCACTCTCTTCCTCTTCTCCCCAGCCCAGATGCCCCTCAGTAGGTGAACCGATCAAGAAAACGTGGTATATACACACAATGGAATGCTATGCCTCCATCAGAAAGAATGACATCGCCCCATTTGTTAGGAAATGGAAAGACTTGGAAGAAATTATATGAAGTGAAGTAAGCCAGGCCCAAAGAAACATAGGTCCCATGGTTTCCCTTATTTGCAATAACTAGTGTATGTCTGAGACAAGCAGAAACAGTCAGATGAGTTGATGTTAGGTGAAACGAACCCCAAGATAAGCCTTCAGGCACCTTCTTAAAGCATATCACAGAAAGCGTTCTGAATCGGTAGCTGGCTGCTGCTCCACGGAATGGATTATTTACATTCAGAATAGTGTAGACTCTGGTCCTCCACCCAGTAAGCTTTCAAAAGCCAAATCATCCCACCGAGTGGGATGAATCAAAAGGTAGAGGCTAGATGGATTAGTCTCTTCATTGGCTTTTTCTTCAGAAACATTTGAGGGCCTACTATGTATAAGAAACGGCACCAGATAAGGTGGGGATAGGAAACTAAACATGGGAAAGTCTTTCCCCTCTGGAAGCTTATGGCCACCGGGCTGAAGTGGCTGCTGAGGTAGTAGGCAATGGCTAGTAAAAGATTTACAACTAGAGGGGCTGGGAAGGTGGCTCAGTGGTAGAGCGCTTGCCTTGCATGCTCGAGGCCCTGGGTTCGATTCCTCAGCACCACATAAGCAAAAAGAAAAAAGCCGGAAGTGGCGCTGTGGCTCAAGTGGTAGAGCGCTAGCCTTGAGCTGAAGAGTTGAGGGACAGTGCCCAGGCCCAGAGTTCAAGCCCCACGACCGGACCAAAAAAGATTTACAACTAGAATAAGACCCAATCAGGTCCACCTGCTGCATAGTTGCATTCAGGTAGTTGAGCAACTACTTATGGATTTGAATTGCCAAAAATTACTTTTTTAAGTGTCATGCTTTGGAGACTTCTTCTTTGGCACCATTGGGTTGGGTACTATTTTGAGTTACACTCTATAGGGCCTGAATAATAGGACCGGTCTCTGCGCTGGCATCTCAGGAAGAGTGACAAAAGGCATCCAATCCATAGTCCTCAGCAAACCTTACAATCCTCCTATTTTTCTTGAGCTCTCACACATCCGATGATTAATCAGGGCTCTCCCTCCAATTTCTTCAGCTCTTTTCCCCTCTGGTTGCTTGGAAGTTCTGGTCTCCATTACTGTTGTATTCCTTCTTGCTCTGACTTTTGGGCTTCATTTTATCTTCTACCCTCTAGTTTTCTTCTTGTCCTATGTGAACAGTCTACCAGACTGCATGTTGCTACTTCTAAATGTTTACCCATTTCTGCCTATTTTCTTGATCAGCATAACCAGAACCTTGGGAGTCCAGCAGGCACTGGAGAATTTTCCTTGGAGTGATGGAGTGAATAGGGGAGGGGGGAGGGGAAGTTGTGAATAATTTTGTACTGGTAATTTGAACTCACTACTATCAATTTTAATCATTTCCACTTAAAAACTAAGTGTTCAGATACTGATAATACAAACAAACATAACAATGTGTTACAAGCCCAGATTCTTTTTTGTCTTTTCAATGGGATGGCTTTATTGATGGATTTCAATTGCCATAAATTGCTTTTGTGTGTCACATTGTGATGACTTATTTCTGACACCGTTTATAAATGGTACTGAAAAGTAGTCTCTAAGATACGTCCATATAAAAGAATGTCATGAAATTGTTTTGAAGTAGCTCTTTCCCTCATTTTCCCCTTTTCTCCTTTGTGATTCTATTGTCTTTCTCTTCAAAGAGCCTTTTATAATCCCTGTCGATTGCAGTGGTACTTAGCGGTGTCTCATAGTAGAAGAACCTTGGGTTTCTGTTGTGAATTCTGTCAATGTGCCACCCCAGGGTTTATGCTGAAGCTTTTGGGAATCAGCATCATGGACACTTCCTTTGCAGGAATCATTTTTTTTTTGAAAAATAAATGAAATGAAATGGGTCCCAGAGAGAACTGGGAAGAAAGATCAAGTTTCCTGAAACACTGGATATGGGTTGCTCTCTTAAAGAAACTGGCAAATGGCTTTTTTTTTATGGACTTATAAAAGTATCCCCAAATGTTATTTTTCCTCATTAACTAGCTTAAATTCAGCACTTTAAAAAAAGTAAGCAATAATATAAGCTTATTTGTTCCATGTTTTGCAGTTGTCTACATTTTAGCTTTGCAATGGCTCCTTAAAGTTTTAAAGTAGGAAAGGCAAATAATGCCCCCCCCCCATTATTTATTTATTTATTTATTTATTTATTTTTTGTGCTGGGGACCAGAGAGTCTTATGCTAAGCATGCATTCTCCCACTGATTTATACCCTGACCTTACTCTCTTTTACTCTATCTAACTTTTCTTGTTGTTTTCCTAATAAATAACACACAGAACAAGCACAATGTAAAATCAGGCAATACAGAGGGGTATGCAACAGAAATGAACCTTGCAGATCATGGTGGAAATTAGGAAGGAGGTGGTATTTGAAATGGGTCTTGAAGGAAGGGTAGGATTTTAGTATAAAGAGGAGGTAGGGAGATGGAGTAAGGAGGGTTCACAGTAGGAGACAACATGACCAGAGGTCCACAGCTTTGGAAAGAGGTGGACAAGGAGCCTGGGGCATGTCTTCAACACCCACCTCAAAGAGAAATCTCATATTAATGGTTTTGTTAAAATGTTTCTTCTCTTTCTCCCTTTCTTTCTGTCTCTGTCTCTGTCTCTCTCTCTCTCTTTCTCTTGTAGACAAAACTCTGACTACTGTAGAAAAAAAGGTCATGATTCATAATCCAAACTGGAATAATGGAGATGAAATACACAAGGCAAAACAGGTGGAAGCAGAATGAAATGATTTGCCAAGACTGCACTGGAATGCCGCTTCTGTCCTTTGTGGGGACACATGGGGTGATCTGTTGTATAAAGTGTTTCATGGAGGAGGTGGTGGCTTCTCCTTTTTATTTCCCCTGTGGATCAGTGCTATTGTGTGCAAATGAAAATAATTCTCAGTGTAAGGCAGCCAGATCATCTCGGCAGTAAGCACACTCACAGAATTGAGTTCCAGAAGGGAAGCAGTTTCTGGTGCTTTCTTTTGCATCTGTCCACATCCATGCAAATGAGAGAAAGTTCTAATGCACACTTCCCTGGCGTCTGAGTCTAGGCATCGTGATGAATATTCAGGAATCATTCACAAGACAAAAAAAAAATATTTTGTGCTCTGACAGAAGGGTCTCTTTTTAAGCAAACTGCGGTACGCGTAGTGTTGAATATGTTGCATGTCATGTTAGAAAACAGAACCCAGTCATCAGCTAATACAAATGATTCCTCAGAGCAGTGTTTGTTTCAAAGCTTCCGTCAAATCGTTTGGCTTTTCTGCAGGGTCTCTGTGACGTCTCACCATGTACTTTCTTTGTTGACTTCCTTATTGTGATGGTATAGCTCAGGAATAGATCTCAGGATGGAGAGAATCATAAAAATCTGAAAATAGCTATTTCGTGCACTCCTGCTTCAGAGAGGCCCTGAGTGGTGAGGGGATTCCTTTTGTGAGAAGTTTGGAGGAAGAGTGAGTGCTTTGTAACCACATTGTATATTAACATGATTATGGCATGTTGTTCACTCTCATCTACAAGGGTGCAGTGAGCCCCTGGGGCAGGTCCGTAACTTTGTGTTGCGGACTTTGTGAGATCCGCAATAACTGGGTTTCCATGAATGGTTAGGTGCTTCTGGAGACAGAATAGGAACACATTAACTCAAGTGCACTCATTGGGTGAATTTGACATCACCTGGACCACTGTAGGAATAGCCCCAGCACACCATTTGGTATCATCAAGGGAAGTTGTTTTTATGTCCTCTGTATCTGAAATCAAATGTGTGCCTGGTTTATTCTCTCCCCCAACCCCTCCTCCTTCCAATACAAAGTGGTAGGCATTAAGGGCAGGGAAAGAAACAGAGTTCCTTTGTGGCCAGCATTACCTTTGTAATGGTACCATGTCCTAACTCTGATCTGAAGAGAGGGAAAGACCCACATCAGAAAAAGAATATCCATAACTATAAGGGGAAAAAGGAAGGCAAACTATTATTTGATAAAAGAGAATTGAAAGAGAGTATTATTTTCCGACCATGAAGAGGTCCCTCTGTCCTCTTGGAGGACTAAATGGAATTCCAGCGTGGACTATGGACTTCTTCCAGCTGTCATTGACATTGCTCCTGGCCACATGCTGGGCAGGGCTGCCTGTCCTGCGAGGGGAGGTGGACACTGTTCTGTCAGACAAAGCTTGTACAAATTCCCGAACTGCAGACTTGCTAAAGTGACAGTGTATACTTACAACTCATAATTTAAATGATTATGGTCAAATACGTGTTGTTAAATTTGAAAATGTTTTATTACATTACATCAAATAAAGATTATTTGTAGCGGTAATAAAGCAACTTAAGTACTGGTTTTCAATGAAAAGTCTGATGTCATGCATGTTATTCTACAAAGAATGGCAGGGCACACACTCCATATGTTTGCTAAAAATCTCAACAAGTAGTCAGATGTAGTGCTGCACGCTCATAATCCCAGAACTTGGAAGGCTAAGGCACAAGAATTTCAAGTTCAAGGGCAGCCTGATCCATATCTCAAGGCCCTGTCTTAAACAAAACACAAAGCAAAACAAAGTAACAAGTCCTTAATAGGTAGTTGATACTTCTCTACTAAGTTGTGTTCCAACTTGAGGAGTCATCTTTTAGTAATGTTCTACTTTTTAAATGATGGCTATTCATTTCTTGATTTGATTAATGAATATTAATTGGGCTCCTGTTACATAAGGAATTTGTCATCAGGTTGATCTTAGATCATCAGTTGGTAACTACTTCAGGAGCTTGCCGTGAGTAACTTTTTCTCTCTGGTCACATAAGAGAGAGCCTTACATTTTACTGTATTAATTTGAGCTTCAAATATGTTTAATTTTTGATGAGGACTTTAATTTTTCAAATTGATTCTTTATCCTGCCTGAAGAGAGTGACTTAGTATTGAGTTCTTTGCTTATACTGGCTTCAGGGCTGGAACTCATGTGTACATTCTGCTTTCCATATATGGCATGCAGATGAAAGAAGGTAGCAATTGAAAAGGAGTGAGAAAAACACCCAGTAATTAATACTGTTATTCATGTGTAGTAATATGTGTGTGCAGTTCTTGTTTTAACTAAGAATCCAGACAAGTCATTGAAGTAAACAGTTTACATATATTTTGTGAATGTTCAGACAAGAAGGACTACTGTGACTCATGTCTTTTCTCACTCTAGGGTATCAGCTGTCATGTTCCGGCAAGGCTGAGTACTGGGAAGTGGAGCACTTGTAAGACATAGTAACCAAGCAATGGCTGCCTTAGTGATTAGTTTTATTCTATAAATATTAAGCTTACACCTGCTATGGAGTTCCTGAGTTTTCTGGAAACTGTTTCAGAATTCTCCAAGCATTTAGTATGGTGTCCTGACCTTGAGATGCTTATTATATCTATATCTAGCTATATATAGTTACATAGATATTGATATATTGATATATATGATGATCATATTTTTATAGTTTAATCAATTAATTGGTTGTAGCAATGAACTCAATACAAATGTTAAAATGCAGGCTAGTTTATGCCAGTATAGTATTTGGAGATGGTGGGATTTTTCCTTGCAACATTTTAATTATCAGCGGAGTCCTTAATTCACTACATATCAATAGTCACGAGTTTTTTGTGTGTGGTCATGGGCTTTGCTGTCAAGGCCTCATACTTGTTAGGCAGGTGTTCCGCCACGGGCGCCATGCCCTTAACGCCACTCTCCTTTATTGCTTTTAGTTATTTTTCAGGTAAGGTCTAGTATTGGACCCTGCTTAACATTTCTAAGGCTAGAACTTTTGTCCAGTGTTAACCTCACACCACAATTCTACCTATGGCCTCTTGTGTATCTGGAATCACCTCTGAATGCACATCACCATTCCTGGATATTAATTGAGATAGGGGCTTGCTAACTTTAAAAAATGTATTTTTATTATTTTAAGTAGCTATATAAAAGAATTGGCACCCATCAAAGCAGTTTATGCAGAGAATGCATCTTGATTAATGTCACCCTTTTATCATTCTCTCCCATCCCCCAACCCTGCACCTTCCCTCAACTTTCTTAATTTTATACAATAGGCATTGCATTTTAAGACTGCATTCCCCACCCCCTTCCTCTTCGTTCCTCTCCCCTCTTCTCTTGATTTCTCCCTTTTGATGAACTGTTTCCTGGTGTTTCTTTCTTTGGGCTGAAAGCTAGCCTTTCTAAAGAATTATACCATTTGCGATTGCCTCTGACTCTACATGTTTTGGTTAATAAATTTGTGTAAACGTGTATACCATCCCAGAGTCTTTACCTGTACATTTATAAATTAATTCTAGCTTCCATTTATGAGAGAGAATGTGCATCCTTTGTCTCGCCATGGCCTGACTTGGTTCATTTAACATGATTTGTCTAGGTTCTTCCATTTTTTTGCAAATGATATCACATCATTCTTTTCGAGCTATGAGTAAATTTCTGTCGTGTATTTTATACCACATTTTCTTGATCCATTAGCAACTTCTTCCTAACTTCTTGCTTTAATGGCCTCAATCCACTGTATTCGATCTCCACGTCTCAAGAAGCTGGGATTGCAGGTATGAGCCACACACCTGGACCACAAATGTTGACTTGTTTTAAATAGATGATGTTCTTTACTGTTATAGGACCTTTGCACATGTTTTCCTTCTCTATCTGGGATACTCTTCCTGTTCTCATTTATTTGATAATATCTCTTCATCATTGTTTTCCTCATTTACGTGGCATTGTGCTGGGAACACACACACACACACACACACACACACACACACTATATATATATATATATATATTATTTATTTTCTTTTTCCTTTATCTTTTTTGGGTATTGGAGTTTGAACTCAGGACTTTGCACATTCTAGGCAGGTACTCTACTGCTGAGTTATACCTCTAGGCATTTTTTCCACTAGTCATTTTGCCATAAGATCTCAAGTTTTGCCTGGGACTCCATCTGACCTCAATCTGCCACTCTCCACCATAGATGACAAAAGCATGTCCCTCGATGCCCAAATTGTTGCTGTTAAAACGGAATCTTCCAGAGTTTTCTGTCAGAACTGGTCTTGGAACAACAGTTTTCCCAATCTCATTCTAGGATTATGGGCACGAGCCACTGTCAGGGTCGGAGGGGAAAAAAGGGAGGGAGGAAAGATAGAAGAAAGGAAGGATGGAAACGAAGTGGAAAAAGGAAGAGAGGAGGTATGTATCAGAAATTCAGAATTGACTTGGCAGTGATTTCTTTCTTTATTTTGCAGTACTGTGGTTTGAACTGAAGACCTTGTACTTGCTAGCCAGGCACTCTACCACTTGAGTGACCCTACCAGCCCTGCTTTGGGTTGGTTATTTTTGAGACCGGGTCTTGCTTTTTATGGTCAGGCTGGTTTGGACTGTCATTCTCTTATTTATACTTCCCCTTGTCATTGGGATGGCCGGTGCTTGCCACTGCATCCTGCCATTGTGTTTCTCAAGTATCTCGGCATGACAGTCATACATCACCACATCCAGCCCCTGGTTGAGTGGAGTCTTGTGAACTCCCCACCCCTCCTTTTCCTTATTTATGTGGGGAAGATTTCATAGTTACATCTCTACATGTTTATACTCTGTACCAATCAATATTACACCCCTATTACTCCCTCTACTATTCTCCACATCAGCCCCAACATGTTTCAAAGTTCCTTTTTCAAAGTTCCAGATAATCTATTTGAACAGTATTCCACTTCCTTTATTCTCTTCACCAGCTCAGAACATTCCTCCCTCCCTGCACC